TTAGAACACACACTCCATCATTGTCCTTAACTGAACCATCAACGTAAACATTCAGCAGGCTCCAGAACGGTTTAATGCACCACAAAGGGCATCAGTGTGCTTTAATTGCCAAGTGCAGTCGCTTATGGGGTCACTTCAGGAGAAAAGTGAGGCAGGCATGGGAGGGTGGTGGGCTGGGGTCAGTCACAGCGCCCTGTGTCGTTGGCAGAGAGAGCTAATGAACTGGTGTACTGCCCTTCGGGGAGATGTGGTGAGGAAAGCCAGATGGAGCTCTTGGGTTTTCCATGGCTATAAAACCAAATTTATCTCGGAGTTCCTTCTCCATGCGCCCGGACCTCCTGCTGGAACAGGTTGCGTGAAATATTGAGGATGTAAATGCGTGTTATTGTGCTGTAAAGAGACAGGACATGGGGTCCCTGGTGAAGTCACACCGGACCTCGACGACAACAAACCTCTCTTTGCCTCCAAAACTCCATGGCCACGTCTACCTCCGCTTGGACAATCAGCTGCGGAGCCATATACTGAAACGTGTCCAGAAACGTCTGGAGTGAATGAATGAGAGTGTTTGTGTGGGTTTAAGTGTGCGCCTGTGTACTAATGAACCCATGAGTAATGGATCTATCCAACGGCTCTTTAAATAGTCAAGCACACAAAGAGGACAAACACAATGCACAGCCGTTTCCCTGTATGACATCATCGTGTGTCCAGTGGCCCCACATCGCTTCCTGACTCTGCCCTGCCGGGCCGGCCCACGGGAAAAGGGCACGCAAATACACCGACACTCTTATAGGCACACACACCTTCTCAAGGATGTCCTGAACCTTGCACTGAAGAGGAACTTCTGCACTAGTGTCCTGTCAGATGGCCTCAATTACGCTTTATTTCAAGTAGAGCACACGTGCCAATCTTTGGCTTGTGGGCTTCATAGATTCATGTAATCTTCCAATTTGACCATGAAATACCATACGACCTTGTCCGCTACATAGGCTGACTCCACTGTGCCCAGTGGGATGGAAGATGCCAAGTTAGTTCAGCCATTAAGCTGCTCTTTCATGGCATCTTCCATCCTTTCTCATTATCCTAGCAATGAAATCCAGTACAACAGCTTGAAGACCAATTTCTCTAAAAAGGGACATTGGACATGGCAAGAAAAGGAGCAACTGACCTGCAAAGAGTTTGCACTGAAGTTGTAGTGGTTGGTATGGTGCAGTGGGAAAGACCTTCACCTTCTATGCTGTAGACTGGGGTTCAATCTTCAATCTTGCCTAGGTAAGCACCCTACACTATACCAATAAGAGTCCTTGGGCAAGACTCCTAACACTACCTTTGTCTATGTGTGTAAAATGATCAAATTGTAAGTCACTCTGGATAGGAGCGTCTGCTAAATGCTGTAAATATAAATGTAAGTTCTGTTTCAATTCAATAGTATAGTGGTGTTTAGACACGTGGGTATACCATGTCTTTGTAGACCCTGTTCACACCTGGTATTAACATGTGTCTTGGGTGATTGAAGAAAAGTAGATAACTAAAGCCCAATCCCATTTCACCCCTCGCCCCATCCACTTAGGCCTTAGCCCTCTGTTTTGTGCATTCATGTCTAGGGGTAGGGTGTTGTTAAGACAGAGGGGTAGAGAGAAGTGTTAGGGCTACATGGCACGAGTGACCAAAGAAACCCACATATGTGAGTATTTTGCCCATTAAAAATGACCATAACCACTGTATTATCCTAGTTCAATGTTGTTTCAATGTATTATGGTCATTTTCTTCATAACAAGCATAAAAATCAATAATAGCATGCTAATATCTGGTAGCTAGGTGGCTAAACTTCCCGTTCCACCTTAAATAGTCCAGCAGTTCTGACGCCTGAAGCGCCAGAATGTTACTACTGCTCCATTTAAGGTGGAACGGGAAATTTCAAACAAGAAGCTGATAAATAGCTGACTTCAGCTTTATATCACTTAATTAGCGGTGGGCGATAATAAATAATTGTCCCCCTCCTTTGAAGGCATATGATGCCCTAAATGTAACTAAAGCCCAACGGTGAGGTTGCTGAACTTTACCCTCCTCTGCTATCACTGAAGACTGGCAAAGCAGCGCTATTAGCCTATTAGTAAAGTAACGTTCTTTTTTATTTGAGGGTCCCATTTCATAGGGAAAGATTTCAACCACTACTCCATGTAACTCAGTTCCAAGGGGCAATGAGACACTCAAAAACAAGGGGAAGGGGTAAAAATAAAAAATGGGATTGGGCCTTAGCACTAGGATGACAACTTAAATGTAATTAATCACTACAAGCTTTAAAAAGGGGGGCTGTTTTACTTGATAACATAAGCTTGAGAACTGCCTGGAGATTAAATAGACCTGGGGTGCCCAGTCCTGGTGCTGCTCATCTACCATAATACAGAGTTTAGCTCCAGCCTGATTCAGGTAATGAAGACCTTCATAAGCATCTGAATGTTAGAGCCAGATGTGTTGGATCTGCACTCTCCAGGGAATCAGATCTCCAGGATCAGGAGTGGGCACACCTGAGTTAGACCATTCAGAAGCAAACACCCACAAGATGCACACATGACAACACAAGCACAACTAACTGTGTTCAGCACTGGAGCCTGAAGCTGGAAGAAGTGGCTATGCTGGTCTTCCTGGCCAAAAAAAGAGCAAGCCTAAACCTTAACTTATAGGATTCGCAAATAAAATTACTGTTATTATACCGCTCCAAAAATCACAATCAGATATTTATTTAATTATCCAGCCCTATTAATCACAGGCGTGAATGAGGTCGAACATGTCTTGGAGTCGCATTGTGATCTGAACACTTAGACCACCTTTTGGAGGTGATCAGGCACGCATAGGACCACATTTGTAGTAGTGTGAACACGAGTGTCCTGATGCACCCCAACAGCAACAAAGGGGGCATAATCAACTTTATATGCACCTTGGGTGATATAAAGTGGACAGCTCTAAGTAAAGGTGTGAACAGGGTACAATGCGTCTCAGAGACGTGCTGTGATCGTATCACTCAAACCACCTTTGATGGAGGTCATAAAACACATAATCACATAACATCTGCATCCATTTGCCCTGTATTGTATATAACTAAACGACCTAAACCTGAGATGAAAGCAAAAATATATATAAATTTAATACGGTATGTCATCAGCCAATGCAACGCTATGAAAATAACATTTGCATGAGTTAAAAACTCATATCAAAAGAAATCAAGGATGGGAGAATGACGTCATATGATGGCTCTCAAACCTGTTGGATTGGAACACGGCTGTCGGCGTTACTGTTGTCAACCTCAAACAATGTGCTCTGAAGTGTTTTCTTCATTCCTACACTACTGTTATATACACTGTTAGAAATAAAGGTTCTGTGCAGGTACATTTTTCGTTCATTAAGGTACAAACAATGTAAGTGTTCCCTCAAAGGTACAACAGTTTTAAGGTCCAATTGTGCACCTTAAATAAGTTTTTCCAGGTGAAAAGTTCATATTTGTACCTTTTCATAACCGAATCTTTTAAAACAGAACAAAAAATAAAAAGCCTGGAGATGAGACGGGGTGTGTGGAGTCAATACAACTTAGAAAATACAATTTAAGGTACTGAGGCACTGTGACACCCCAGTGACAAGAGGGGAACTGCCCCAGTGTATGAGCTGACTAGCACTGTATTAATTTGATCTGTGACTGTAGAGCACGACAGCAGTAAAAAGAACGACAGAATAAAACTGTATGCGCTGATATCTGTGTGTATGCCCCACTGGACCATGGCTGAGTGTTAGGTGAGTCTGTAAAATCTGCATTTTGAGTCAAAGCCAACGTTTTCTTCAGTCACCATCGGCTCCAGATGCATCCAGATGCATTCAAACTATAAGGAATGAAGTCACAGACGCAAATTGGCCACCCCTAATGATTATGAGTGCAAAGCAATGAGTGCAACTGACTGTGAACAAGCATCAGCTTAATCAATGCTGTATTTCAGAGATTAAAAGGTAGTAAACCACAGAAATGAAACAGGTGATATCAGTACAGTCAGAGCAGACTGTGCTGGGTGATTCTTGGAAAAACAAAATTACACTACTCATCAACTGACAGGGGAACAACACTCTAAAGGTGAGAAGACAATCCTTGAACATGTGAATACAACTACATTTACCGAGTAACAAACCCCTCTATCTCTACCTTCCTTGCCTGCTTCAGCAGTAGGCCTACAACAGAGGGCCTGAATAAGGTGAGCCGGCTGCATTCCACATTCGTGCACAAACCAGTCCGGCGATGATGTCATATTTCACTTCTGCTGTTTTTTTGTTTTTTTTTCTTCCTCTCAACCAACTCAGATATGACTTGTGCTGTCGCAGGTGGGGTCTGAGACCTTTCCATAACAATGTTACTCAACACGTTACTGCAACAGTACACAATAGTACACAGCAAGCTGCTGGACTCACTAGGGGACCACCTTGGTGTTGGTGACAGGTGAAGGGAGACTGTATCTGCAGAACCAGTGTGAGGCGACATGTTGCTTTTACCGCACACTGACATATTTGATAGGTAATAAGCATTATATTCATGCTGTACTGCTATGTTCCTGTTCCCATGTTCTATATCCAGGCCACTGAGAGTGAACAGCAATGGGTCATTTGCTGGGTACGTCAGACTGTCCTGAGCGAAGAGTCCAAAATACATCAAAATTGAATATTTATTTCAGAAATTGTGTTTTTTGTTTGGTTAACCTTTACATGGTTGTTTAATGGTCCCTATTGTGTGATTTTAAGGGACAGAATAGCGCAAACAAGGTATGCCAGGTTAGTAAAAAAGCCCAGATTAGCAGCACTCAGGAAGAAAGAGGCCACTATATCAATGCAAACTGAAAGATTACCTGATATGTGAAAATATCGTGATACTGAATACTGTCAGTGTCGCCCTGCACTGCTATTCAGAGCTGACGTTTTCCAGAAAAGACGTTAAACTCGACACGAGAGGCATAAATCAGAAATCTCACCCCAGTCCAGGAACTCCAGGACATTCTTCTCCCTCCTGAGGGGAGAGTTGTTGCACTCATCGTACAGGCAGACGAGGATATCCAGCAGGGTCTCCACACTCAGGCTCTGGCCGTTCGACTGAGAGGGGCCATCCAAAACCAGCTTCTCCAGCTTCTTCAAACGAACCTCTGCAGACATGGCTCCAAACTTTATCTGTTCAAATCGCGACGAGGCCGATTATTTCCGACAGAGCTCGGCAAGCTGGAGCTCCAGCGAGCTCACCAGAAAAACGCTTACAGGCTCAAAGCAGGCAGACTGCGGTCCGGCTAAAGCGGGTCAGTCATGGCCCTCCTGGAAAAACGCCTCCCTGTGACTCGGTTTGAGGCTCGGTGTGACATAAAACATCTCAAATGTTCCTGGGTTTTCGGAACCGGACTAAACAGACTAAACAGAGCTCGCTAGCCCTGCTGCTACCGACCGACCGAGCCCCTGCCCTGGCCGGTGGATTTGACGTAAACCCGGCCGCCGCTCGGCGCCTCCTCCCTCGGTATTTCTATCGGCTCCTCCTGCTCCGTCCAGAAGGACATTACCGTGTCCACTCGGCCCGAAGAGAGCTACGGCTCCGTCCTCCGCCGCTCACACGGCCGCGCGGCTGTCCATCGTGCAGTAACCTCGGAAAACGCATCAGCGCCGGATCTGCAATGCTACAAAAGCCCGTACAAAAGCCCCTCCTCTGAGAGAGAGAGAGAGAGAGAGAGAGAGAGAGAGAGAGAGAGAGAGAGAGCGAGCAAGCACTGCGAAAGGACGGACGGCTTAGCCAGCTCGATTTTCCTCCCTTTAAACTCCCTCCTCATAATCGAGCTCCTCTCAGACGGAGTGATTTCTGCCTGTTTGTGTTTCTCCGAGGAAAGTTCAGCTGAGAACTGAGAGGAAAACAAAACGCCTCCTTCTTCATGTCAGTCTGCTGAGCCTGGCTTTACCCTCTCTCTCTCTCTCTCTCTCTTTCTATCTGTCTCTCTCTCTCTGTCTCTCTTTCTATCTGACTGTCTCTTTCTCTCTCTCTCTCTCTCTCTCTTTCTATCTGACTGTCTCTCTCTCTCTCTCTTTCTGTCTATCTGACTGTCTCTCTCTCTTTCTGTCCATCTGACTGTCTCTCTCTTTCTATCTGTCTCTCTCTCTCTTTCTGTCTCTCTCTTTCTGTCTATCTGACTGTCTCTCTCTCTTTCTGTCTTTCTGACTGTCTCACTCTCTCTTTCTGTCTGTCTGTCTCTCTCTCTTTCTGTCTGACTGTCTCTCTGTCTAACTGTCTCTCTCTCTTTCTGTCTGACTGTCTCTCTGCCTAACTGTCTCTCTCTCTGTCTGCCTGATTGTCTCGCTCACTGTCTTTCTCTCTGTCTCTCAGTGTCTGTGTCTCTTTCTCTGTGACTGTCTGTCTGTATGTTTCTCTTTCTGTATCTCTCTATCTGTCTGTCTATCTGACTCTCTTTCTGTCTCTCTCTGTCTTATTGACTGTCTCTCTCTCTGTATGTTTCTCTCTCTGTACCTATGTCTGTATCTCTCTTTTTATGTCTGTCTGTCTATCTGACTGGCTGTCTGACTGACTCTCTAACTCTCTATATAACCGTCTCTCTCTCTCTGTCTATCTGACAGTCTTTCTGTCTCTGTCTATCTGACTGTCTCTCTTTCTGTCTGTCTATCTGACTGTCTTTCTGTCTCTGTCTATCTGTCTGTCTATCTGACTGTCTGGCTGTCTGACTGACTCTCTAACTCTCTCTCTGTCTATCTGACTGTCTCTCTTTCTGTCTGTCTATCTGACTGCCTGACTGACTCTCCCTTTGTCTATCTGATTGTCTTTCTGTCTCTGTCTATCTGACTGTCTCTCTCTTTGTCTCTGTTTGACTGTCTCTCTTTCTGTCTGTCTTGCGCTCTGTCTATCTATCCGACTGTCTGTCTGTCTGTCTCTCTCTCTCTCTCTCTGTGTGTGTCTCTCACTCACTGCTGCGGCCGAAATCCGAGCTCATCATGGCGACCGACACACACACGCCGTCAGAGTGGTGTGTGTGTGTGTGTGTGTGTGTGTGTGTGTGTGTTGCAGTGTGAATGAGAGCTGCGGTCTGTGATGGAGGATCTTTTCATTCATCGAGAAACGATACTGTTCATCCACGAAACGCACGAGAGTCATTTTAACTGTTCTGACTGAGTGAAAACTCTCTGACCGGAAACACATGAGGATAAATGTGGACAATAAATCCTGAGCTTTTTAAATTCAGCAACAGAAAAACTTCTGGACTGGTTACCGTACAGTGAGGCAGCCCCGCCCACACCGCGCCGAGGCTGAGATACAGAGATATTACAGTGACTCAAGCCACAAATATCACTGATCACTGCGGGTCACTGTCCTCTACTAAAATCACAGCAGCGTTCAAACGTTTCAGCCTTTTCAATAAAAAATGTTGACATCTGATTCTGTTGTGATGAAGTTATCAAGGATTTACTGTAAACAGGCGGTTGAAATATTGCTGAAACACGTGCTGGTGTCTAGTTTCTAGTACTGCAGTGAACGCTGTAGAGATCATTGAATAAAATAACAATTATTAACATGACGAGTGATTCCGAAAGCAAAACTAATACCGGTTTATATGTTTAAGACTGAATAAAGCAGTAAATCGTCGGCAGCTGTGCAGACAGTTCTGTTAATTGAATGATAACCGTGTAATGATCTCTAATAGAAAACTACGCTGTTGAAAGGTTGCAAGTTTTTTGAAGATCGAGCGCCCTCTGGTGTTTAGAGTCACACAGTGCACTTAAACAGTAACCTCGGATTACCGGGCCCTTACAAAAACTCTTACTAATGTTTTTAATTTTATAAGCTAAACTGCTCAGTCAAAGCTGGTCTATATATATATATATATATATATATATATATATATATATATATATATATATATATATATATATATATACAGAGAGAGAGAGAGAGAGAGAGAGATACAATTACAGACTGTAGTCCATCTGTTTCTCTGCATACTTTGTTAGCCCCCTTTGACCCTCTTCTTCAATGGCCAGGACCCCCGCAGAGCACAATGATGTGGTGGTGGTGTGTTAGTGTGTGTTGTGCTGGTATGAGTGGATCAGACACAGCAGTGCTGCTGGAGTTTTTAACAGAGTCAGTGTCACTTCTGGACTGAGAATTGACCAGCCAAACACATCCCGCCAACAGCGTCCTGTGATCTGAAGGATGAAGGACTAGAGGATGACCAACACAAACTGTGCAGCAACAGATGAGCTATCGTCTCTGACTTTACATCTACAAGGTGGACTGACAAGGTAGGAGTGTCTAATAGAATGGACAGTGAGTGGACACAGTGTTTAAAAACTCCAGCAGCACTGCTGTGCCTGATCCACTCGCACCAGCACAACACACATTAACACGCCACCACCACCACCACGTCAGTGTCACGTCAGGGCTGAGAATGACCCGCCACCCAAATAGTACCTGCTCTTTGGGGGTCCTGACCATTGAAGAAGAGGGTAAAAGGGGGCTAACAGAGTACACAGAGAAACAGATGGACTATAATTGAGGATACATAACTATATAACTAGATGTATAACTATAATTGTCTCTAACTGTAGAACTACAAAGTGCTCCTTTATGGTCAGGGGAGCTGATAAAATGGACAGAGTATTAAAAGGTTATGAATATTATAAATATTATGTTTGAAAAAAAATACCACACTATGTGACAAAAAGCCTAGAACAGGGGTCGCAACCCAAATGTTAAGAAGAGCCATTTTGTCAGGTTTCAACAAAATTCTAACCAACTTGGGAGCCACAACGTTTCATGTCTATTTTATTGAAGTACTGTTTCACCATCTTGGCTGTAAATATGTCTCAGTAGATGCTAATGTCGTAGTACAGGCTAAAAAAATCCGCAAAAGCAGAAGAGTTTCTTGTAAAACGTCTCTTAATGTTCAACTTTTTACGAGGCTTAAGTCAGCTTCACATTCGCCAGCTTCTTGTTCGAATTTCCCCGTTCCACCTTAAACGGTGCCTGAGGCGCCAGAACGTAGCTAACTATGTAGCGCACTGTTGCACCATTTAAGGTGGAACGGAAAAATTCGAATGATTCTTCAGTGTTTGACAGTTTCTCGTTGCAGATTAAACGTATTAGGAAACCAGCTGGAGTGATTATAAATGCAAATAAGTCCATTTGTTTCCAAATTATCGAGTTTCGTCTTAAATCTTTCTCTTTGCCGTTTTGTTAGCTATTAGCTAACTCGGCGAGGCTTTTTCTGCGTTGCTATGGTGACCAGCAGTCTGCGCGCCAACCTTCAGGGTTAAAGAGTGAATTAGCAGTTAACTCCAGCTTTTAAGACCATTTATTGCTAAAACTGTGTTGTGTGCTTTATTTTACTGCAAAGGAGGATTATTTTGTTTTTAATTCAGAATCTAATTCTGCTGTTGAGCCTTAACTGGGCAGTAAAAGAGCCCCGTGCTGCCGACCCCTGGGCTGGAAGAAAGCCCCCACAACAAGGCTCTCCGCCCACAGATGGTCATATTCAGAGGCTCAGGGCTCTGAGCTCTGGTTCAGCTCATATCTACCTCAAATGAACCCCGTTAAATAGCCCTGATCTGGCGAGTGCCACACCACGACTAATAAGGTGCTAATTATGTCTTTCATGTCAAAACATACGTCAGATAAAAGCCCAACAGGAAGTTAGCGTTCAGTTAGTAATCCGCCTGTTCTGAAAATATCCTGCAGAGAGCTGAACGTGTCAGCAAAAATACCATTTGTTTGCTTATCAGTGTTTCTGTTGGAGAAAGAAAGCCCACGCGTTCATATTTCGCCTGGCTGTTTTCCCCGTTAGTTCTGTCCAGAAGAGGCGGTTGGAGCTTATATAGGAGGAGGAGGAGGTTTCCTCCGCTATAGCTAGGTGTTAATTAGCACGTGTTTTGTGGATTGGCGATTCTCTCAGGCCTTTGATTAAGGACTATGGCATCCGCGAGAATTAGAAGTTCCTCTGTACTGACCAAAGGGGCTCTACATAATTGACAAGGGAAGGGGAGAAGACTGACACATATCACACAAGACTTCAACCCTCTAATTTACTGCATGCAGTGTGCTGAGTGTGTATTGTACAGAACAGACAGGAGGGAACAAACAGGCCAAGCCAATAGGAGCAACAGGATCTACAGTGAACATGGCTTTATTGTCAGAATCCAATACAAATTCACTGTAAACGTAAAATGACCAGCCTAAAGTCATTCAAAGTAAACAAATTACACATATAATGCCACATGAAGTCAGTTAATGTATTTATATGTTCACTACAGGACATACGCTGGGGTTTGTTGATGGTTAGACTTACAGACTACAGTAGGGGTTTCAAACATGAGTTACTTTTCATTTGCGTTTATATTTGCACTTAGTTTTGATATTTGCATTAAAAAAGGAATAGTTTTATCTACTAGAATATATATATTGGGAATACAGCCGTAAAGAATGTCCTCACTTGGCCTTATAGGTCATTTCCCTTTAATGTATGCACCTGTAACACTACTGCTTCTTACTATACCTAGAAGTCTAATAAAATTCAGTTGAAATGATATGCAAATCATATTATGTTTGTGTTAAAGCCTTTCTGAATAAGGGCCTCCTGAAATAACCCTGTCCATAAAAACAGTGCTGTTTGACATAAAAAAGGATTTCATTAAATGGGTTCCATGTAATTCACACTTTTGTATGACAAATGTATATATATATATATATATATATATATGTGCGTGTGTGTGTGTATATATATATATATATATATATATATATATATATATATATATATATATATATATATATATATATATGTATATATATATATAAGTAGTAAAATAAGTCCATTAAAAAGTGTGAAGGTTGTGTGTGGTATGAAAATAAAGTCTGCCACAAAGCCTGTATGACAACACTTGTGTAGAGTCAGCTGTGGGTCTTGCGTCTATATTTGCGTTCCATTCATTTCTCTTCAGCTCCCAGGAAAAGTCATCTGCTTTTCCTGTGAGCTCCCTCGGTCTGTCTGACATCTTAGAGCAAATAGAGGGGCCAATACACAAACTCAGACAGTGGCCTCTCAGTGCCACTAGCCCCTCTTCTTACGTTTGTGTGACCAAACAAGGCATGGCAAATTTGGCAATGGAATCAGATGATCACCAACCTGTGAAGAGCTCCCCAATCCACATCCGCTCGGCCTGCCTGGATTAACTGTCTGTTTGGCTAATAATTTTAATCTGGGGATGTAGGAGCAGGGGTGGTAGTCTTGGAATAAACATCCGATTGCCCCCCCCCTTCCCCCAAAGACTCATCCGATGACGATGGGGCCTACGGTTAAAGCTGATCAGCAGAATGGCTGTCAGACATATAAGCCATCTCGGGCTACGCTGATAGACTCAGGCCAGACTAGGAATGTTTTACAGTGTCCGGGGGAATGTACACACGAGGAACAAGGGCAGTACAGCAGCACACATGCAGGCCGGGTGAGAGAGTACGTCCCAGGTTCACTCTGACTGGAGGCCTATCAACAAACGGGGGCTGTAAGGACACGGGGTGGCAGTGATGTTTAGATTCATCATACAAAAGTGAATTCCATGGAACCCAATCGATGAAATCCTTTTCATGACACACAACACTATGATTTTATTATGGACAGGGTTATTTCAGACGGTCCTACTTCAGAAAGGCTTTGATACAAACATAATATGATTTGCATATTATTTCAACAGATTTTTTATTAGACTAGAAGCATAGAAGCAGAGTGTTACAGGTGCATACGTTAAGGGGAAATGAGCTATAAGACCAAGTGTGGATCTTGCAGTAATGTAATATACATTTTTAATCATTTAGTAATAAAATAAACACTATAGTATAACCAATGGACACTCTACTATTACAGTATAATATTATAGTGCACTGCACTTTACTGTTGTGAACTCTGCAGTATACTACAGACACCATAGTAAACACTACATTTACTGTACTATACTGTACTCTACATACTATATATAGACAATACAATATAGACTATAATAATACTATGTATACACTATATGTAAATACCATGCAGTGGTACTTTTTATTATGCTTAATTGTCAGAATCCACTGCAAATTCGCTGTAAATGTCAAATAAATGGCTGAAATTTATAAAAAATACACATAGTGCCTTATTGGAGTTAATTAATGTATTTATATGTTCACTACAGGACGTTTATAGATGATTAGACTTACAGACTACAGTGGGAGATTTCATATGCAATCATATTTGCACTTAGTTTTGATATTTAAAACATATATATATATATATATATATATATATATATATATATAGATGTTTTATACACACAAACACACACACTCACATATATATGTATGTATGTAATGGTTTATGCATATATATTACTGTACTATACTGTACTCTACGTACTATATATACATTATACAATATAGACTATAATAGTACTATATATGCACTATATGTAAATACTATGCTGTGATTTTTTTCAGATAGTTCCCAATGAAAACTACTTGTCAACTGACAAACAAACAAACATACAAAACAAAACAAAACACGTCATTTGTATTTGAATACATTAAATCAATGACAGACAGATTCATAAGTGAACGATTTAGTTTGAAGTTGAGCGTTTTGTCTCCGTGTTTCTGATGAAACGTGGCTTTTCATGTCGCCCCTTTGCTCTGATGTCGCCCCCCCAACCCCCCCTCCCAGTGCCAATGTGCGAACGGCCCGGGGGTTGGGGGGATATAAGCGCGGGGCTCCCTGTCAAAGCCACAGCATTTCACACTCTGAACTGGACAACTGCAGATCTCCACCAGCTTCTGCAGCCTCAGGACTTCTTCAGCTTCAGAGCTCCTTACAATTTGGAGTCCCTCCAGCTGTGGACCCTCTGCGGATCTTCTCCAATTTTAGACCTTCCCAGCTTCTCCAGCTTTCTTCCAGCGCTCAGGGCTCGAGCTCCAATGGCCCCGTGCCTTGTTCTGTGCGCGCTCCTGCTCGCGGTGGCTGAGGGCTTTACCCATGAAGACATGAAGGGCGTCATGCTGAAGCAGCTGGGACTCAGCGAAGTGCCGAGGATCCACAAGCGGGACGTGGAGAACCTCGTGGTCCCGGCGCACATCAAGACCAAATACCTGAACCTGCTGAAGGTCCACAACAAGAGGCGGCGCCGCTCCCTGCCCAGTCTGGCGGGCATTCTGAGGGGCATCCCCGGCAATGCAGGTACAGCTCGCTTTCTGCTTGACCATCAGCTGGACCTGTCAGTCCGAGCGCAAACCGTCGACCTCCGGTTAAATGCAGATGTGTAATATTGCCTTTCTTTCGTTTTTTCAGATATTTCAGGAGAGTTCGTGTACTCGGACACGACGCGGCAGCGGGTGGTCTTCGAGATGGACTCGAGGATTCCGGAGAACAGCGAGGTGACCATGGCTGAGCTGAAGCTCTACAAGAAAGCGCCGCACAAGCGCTCCATGCCCGTGAGGAAGGGCCAGCGGCCAGTCAACAACGCGCGGGTCAGCATCTACTGGGTGGAGGTGCTGGAGAGCGGCGGGAACAGGACCTCTCTGGTGGACTCCAGGTAAGGGCCGAGGCCGCACGCACTGTTTCCTCTGTATGGTTCACACCAGCGGGAGCGCTAACGGTCCCCATCGACTCCTTCTCAGGTTGATTCCCATTCACGAGACCGGCTGGAAGAGCTTTGATGTGACCCAGGCGGTGCATTATTGGTCCAAGAGTCAGCAGAAGACCCCCATGCACCTGGAGGTGTGGATCGAGGGTGAGAGGCCGGGCAGCTACGCGGCTGAGATGGCCAAAAGTGTCCAGTTCACTGGTCAGGACCCGAGCGATAACACTCTGGGCAAACCAGAGCTGGTCCTCTACACACTGAACCTGGAAGAGTATGGGTGAGTGGGATTTACTGAAGTTTTATATATATATAGAAATTGAATTATATAAAATATAATTTAATATTAGATAAAAAAATTATTATACATAATTTTTTCATGTAATTGAATACAAAATTCAATTATATTGAATATAATTCATATAATAAATATTATATTATTATATTTTGTTGTTAAAGCAAATAATTAAAAATCAATTATTAAAATATTAAGAATTATTTAATAAATAAAGTACATTTTTCAGTGTTGTGTAACTATAATAATCATAATAATAACAATAATGATAATAATCATATATGTGTTATTTATTTAATATCTTGTTATTATCATGTTAATCTGAATCTCTCTCTCTCTCTCTCTCCAGCTCTAATGGGGACTGTGCGGGGGGCAGCGCTGGGGGTCGCTGCTGCAGGGAGGAGTACTTCATCAACTTCCGCGCGCTCACCTGGACCCAGTACTGGATCATCGAGCCGGCGGGCTATCAGGCGTTCCGCTGCGGGGGGCGCTGCCGGCAGCCCGAGCGGAGCTACGGCTACGGAGAGCGGAGGTGCGCCGTGGCCGAGAGCGCCCCGCTGCCCATGATGTACCTGGTGAAGAAGGGAGACTACACCGAGATAGAGGTGGCCGAGTTCCCCAACATGATCGTGGAGAAGTGCGGCTGCGCAGTGGACAACATCTCGGTGGTGTGAGGAGCCAGTATGAACTGATGATAACGCGCAGTACTTACAGCCGACAGCCGGCGGACCATCTCGAGCACTTTTTGTATTTAGTGTGTAAATATCGTTGTGATTAAACGTGACGTTCGTGTGCGCGCGTGACGTCACGCCCCATCGTCAGAGTTGTACATATCTCGGGATTTCCCGTGTATTTTCACTACGTTAAGTATGAAGTAAAGTATTTTCACTCAGATGTGCGCTGTGGTTTTTCTGAGCTCAGTTTTTTGGGTATTCCAGTGTTTGCAGGCCATTCAGACACACAGACTTCAGCACACAGAGACACTGGAGCCGTGTTTGCTCTGTTTTACATACACGAGACCACCAACCACCGCACGCAGCCCCGTTAGTGGTCTGTGAGCCGCACACACTCACCCATTACCCCCCTTCGCAAAGCGGAATGGGGACGATTTGAAATGGAAATGGTCTTCAGCTTCCTTAGCCACTTAACACCGAGGGTCACTCCTTTAACCGGGCCTAAAACTAGACTTTTAACACGTCGTTTGTCATGTTATGCGGCGTTCAGTAGCGCAGGGTTAACGTTACATCCATAGATATACATAGCTGGATGCCGCGTCGCCTGTTGTTCTCTATCTGAGGCGATACGTCTGCGCGTCCGCCATGTTGGAGCGGTCAAGATCCGCTTGTGAACAAATTCACTTGTACTGCGAGATGAAGAGTCTCAGGATTAAATCAGCCACAGCTTCCTTACTACTCAACCGATTTTCACCAAATTTGTTTTTTTTTTATAATCCTCAGACACAGATTAATCTAGATGGCACGGGCTGCTCTCGGTAGCTTTTAATTAATTAATAAGTGATCGTGCTAATTAGCTGTCCGGACCAGCAGGAAAGTATTCAGTCTGCACCTGACGTTAAAAACCGAGTTTAATGCTCTGGTAGAAACACAATCAGCAAATCCATCAATGTGTGAATCACTTCTAATCGTAATACACATAAAAATAAAGTAAACCCCCCCCAAAACACAGTAAGAAGGACGAAGCTGAAGTTGGCTTCCTATTCGCCAGATTCATGTTCGAGTTTTCCCGTTCCACCTTAAATGGTGCAGAAGTCACTTTCTGGTGCCCGAAGCTGCACCATTTAAGGTGGAATGAGAAAATTCGAGCAAGAACCTGGCAAATAAGAAGCTGACTAAGAAGGTGTGTAAGAAGGTGCTAAAGTTAATCTATTATTAAATAAACTATTATTATTGAGCTACTACATCAAGTGAATAGACTATTAAATTAAATAAGCTTAATATAAAACCAGAGGAAAAACAATCACACCAACAGGTTCTTTGTGCATCACCAAACACACGGCCATATCTACACATAAACATCACACAAACATTACGTATCACACAGTCATGAGTGTGGATCACTGCGTTCCCTCCGTTATATAATCCTATCCCACTTTCTGAGTGTGATATTCTTGAAATAGTGTAATTTTGGACAGTATTTTTCTTAAACTGCCGCTCTGTAATGGTACTGAATGCAGTCCAGCAGCGATGTTGACCGCCCTAAAATGGAACTCACCATCTATGAGCTAACAAACATAATCAAGCTAGCATTAGTGTTACTCTTACTTCAGTCACTTAACATAAATATAAAGAAACCAACAACTACATCTTTCTTTAGCAAAAAAGGGACGCCAAGTACCCCTTTAACCAGGAAAAAGAAGCCAAACTGAGGTATCTAGACAGGTAGCTAGCTAGATTCCTTGCTATCTTTAGCTTTTAGCTTGTTGTCCTCATTTGACAAGTCAGTTCTTTCAGTAATCCACTTTCTCCATTATAATGACTGGAGGACTATATTAATACCGTTAGCTATCTGATTTTATTCTGTATGTGCAAAAAACCCAAACATTTAAAAACAGCCTGTCCCCAAAATCCACCTCACAGCAGCTGTAGTGTTTTCAGTAGTGATGGGGAGTCGATTCCAAAAGAGTCGGTTCTTTGACTCCAGCACTTCTGGAAAACTTCGTCGAAATGCTTGGAGTCGACTCTTTAACTCAGTGTTTCTTCGTTGTAATAGGCCCAAGGTAATTTGCTGAAACGTTAGTAATATCTGTCAATGCTACCGATATTACTTGGAATAATTTAATATCTCCTGTATGCCTTTATCACCGGCTCTGGAGTCGACTCCATCGATTCCAGCTGCAGGAGTCGAGTCCGAGTCGACTCCAGAAATCCCAGAGTCGTGAATCGCTAGTTTTCAGTTGTTCCTGCCACCTTCAAGATACACAATCAGAAGATTCTCCTGGTCTTTAATCCAGAACATCTCACTCTGGAGGCTGCAACAGCAACACTGTAGGATACATGTAAGTCTGACTGCTGAGAAGCAGAGATGGTCACTTTTTTTTTTTTAGTTTTGGCCATTTGTCTTTATAACAGACAACACTGTTTTATGTATTCTCCAAAAGAGCCCAACATAAAATTATAAAAGAGTAACTCAAATGGTTGCATGAGTGGTAGAGCAAGAAAAGCCAACACAAATGGGAAACATTTCAGAGGTTTATTACAGTCTCAAATGCCAGAAGCATCGGTGCATTATCAAACCGTGACAGTCATCATTGCTGAAAAAAACAATAAATACCACAATACAAAACGTTATAAATAAAACCGTCATAAAGCCGCAATAACTTGCTATCATTCCGTTCCAGCAGTTTGTGAACACTAACGGTTATAATCACTATTATTCTCAACTAGGTCATGCTATTCATGTGTACATTAGGACAGTCTGTCTTATGTATATTAGGGACAGCAACAAAAAGTAATCGGACAAAAGATTATAAACAGGCCTATAGGCTGCAGTTAGGCTTATTTAAGGTAAACTAAAACAGGACAACAAAAGAACCAAGTCCTCATATGGAAGTGTGGAAAGAAGAAGTCAATAGCTGCCAAGATATTGGTGGTTAGTTGCCACCACAGAAGAAGTGCAGCCACTCTGTGCCAAACATTTCCTAAATACAAAGGTACAGGGCTTGTAACTGACCGCTTGGCAGTGGCTGGCTGACTGTCTTCAGATTTTTTTTATGAGTGAAAGTAACATTTCTTGAAGCACCAGGTTGCAAAAGAAACTGTTGGTAGGAATCTGACAGTAATGCAAATATAAGGTAATTATTTACAGGCCAATTTTAAGTATCATTACAAGATAAGCAGATACGCAGAAGACTATGACTCTCTCTTTAATCATGCGTAGTTTTGCCCTTTCTAAACCCCTGACAACAGGGGAAGTGTCAAAAATGACAAATGCAATATGCCACGCTTGTATTCTGTATTCTGTAAAAAAAACAGAAAACACACTGGAGTTTCTCAGAGTATTAACCAGCACCAGTGGTGGAGTTTGGTGTGTCAATAGTAATTAAAAAGGTGTTTTCTTCAGGTCGGCTTCACCCGTCATAATTTTATTAAATAAAGATATATTCACAATACACCCCAAAAAACACATTTATAGACACTCACTCAAGGTTCACACTACTTTAAGTATGTAAATTGTCTAGGAATGTTAACTACCTACTAAAATTATAAAATATTGTTTAAAAAGTTTGTGGTTGTGCCTGAAAAGTCACCTTGAAACTGCTGGTAAAGCAGCACTGAAAGATCAGTCTGTAAATAAGACAACGGTTTGGGTTGGAGTATGAAAACTATGACAGCAGTCAAAACGACTGTGCCTAAATACGCTGCATTTTGTAAAAAGATTCATTTTATGACTTCAACATAAAACTCAGCTTTAAATACCAGCCTGAGGTTAAGTGTAAATTATTTTAATGTATAATGTTCAAAAACCAAAGGGGTGTAAAATACTTGACTGTTACAAGAATAACTGGATGATGGCCAGTGCAGGGGACCATGAATACTATGGGAAGAATGACAACACTGATTTCCCTGGGAAGTGCTACACAGAGGGAAGACCATTACTGAGCAGACTCTTCGTGAAATTAAGAGAAATCTAGTTGACTTTCTCAAAGGCTCTTTAGCACCTTTGATGTGGACTATAGGTCTCAATCAAAAAGCAATACAAAAGTTGTACAAAAGCAAATAACCCATTTATTGTAAACCTATGGAGTTTGACTATTACATACTGGACTGAAATACACAAAATGAGAAGTTTGGAAAAAAGAGAAAAGTGGACAGTAACAATGATCACACCTTCATTTAAACTATGAAAGGGCCTTTTCTGCTGCTAAATTATCACAATTCCTATCAATAGCTTCTAAAAGAATATGCTGTTGATCTGCAAGATTCTTAAATGGTACGATTCTTAGACAAAAACTTGCAAAATAATAATTTACATTTAGTAAAAATGACATTGTACAGAATAAAACGCACAACCCTGAAATTCAAAAGCATCCCAACACGGAGCCGAAGCTGTGGATCTTGATATAACATATCAAAGTGGGATCTAAAATGAAAAAGGACAAAAAAAAAAAAATTTAAAATAAAAACTAAGAAAATTAAATTTACAAAAACGTGGAAAAGTGAATCCGTTGTGAATATGGGATATCCCAGGATCTCGGGATGTGGAATGTTTGTCTGTTCATAATAACTTCTTATTTAAAATGCAATTTTACTTCCTTTTTTTAAAAAGAGGGTAAAAGTGGACGTAGGTGGGTCAGTGGTTGCAGGAGGGAGTTCTCCTTGAGCCACCAGTCTTTAATGCAAAAGCCCACTTAGTAATATCCTGGATGGTACTGCTGACTCCATGGCTTCTGGTTCCAGAACTAAGGGGTCAAAAACAGGGTCTGGTCAGTCAAAAGAAGGCCTCACAATCAGTTATCAATTAGTGCTTAACATGAGGCCTGCTTTGTGTTATCAACTTGCTGGTCTTGCAGTTCCCTTACTTAGGGGAGCCATCCACTTATGATCGCTTAAATCATGTATCTTATATTTCATTATAAATGTTATTTTATAATTACTCAATTAGTTTTATTATAGCAGTAAAGACAAAATATTCCATGATTATATTACTGCATAAT